TAGAAGCCTCACATGGGGCAGCTTGGGAAAAACCCAATAAAAGCCACCTTGAACAAAGGAAGCACATGCACATGCTGCCCATGCCCATCTGCTACTTGTGCCCACTTGGCCAAGCACATGTGACGCCCTGGAGCATGTGGCACCAACACCTCCCTTCTTGAGATGTATACTTTCAAGCTTTCTTATCTACTGCTGAGGTTTGTGGTGAGCGTCTCTCTGCCTTTGGGGAAGCCCAGGTTCTCTCTTAAGTGCATTACTCTCTCCCTTTGTTCTCCCTCTTACCCTCCTTAAAGCCCTTCAAATAAAAATTGTACTTCGTTGCATGTCTACTCCTTAAATTCTTTTCTTAGAGACAGGACAAGAACATGGTGACCCTGATAAGGCCTAGGACTGACTCTGTGCAGTGGCTTATCGCGGACTTTATCAGTTCCAGACTTTCCAGCTGGTTTCAGGTGGCAGAGGTGGATCAGGAAAAAGTGACTATCTCTCTCCTTCCTACCTTACATAAGCCACCCATAGGGACCCAACAATTTCTCTTCCTTTTTATCTACGTCTTCCAAAATTTATTACTTTGAATTTTTTTTCTATAGGTTGCTTACAATTGCATGGTTATATCTCACTACCTTTTGGTTTGAATTTCACTTCAGCAAGTGAAGTGAAATGGTTGTGGTCCACCTATATGCCTTCTTGGAGAAGGGTCTACACTATTTCTCCATCCCCTAGACAACAACTTCTTTTGTAAATTTTTATCAAATCTGAACTATATTATGAATTTATTATAAATTATGTCCACAGTGTCTTTATGTCTACAAATGCCACACACTGCATTTTGTTTGTTGGTTTATTGAGTTCAGAGTTTTTTTTGCACACAAAAAGATGACTTTCAAAAGGTAAATGTAAAAAGTGAAAAATGAACATAACTAATAGCTTGATGAGAGAAACTTTGTATACTTCATATTTTTCCTCTTATCACCTTCATATTCTTCATTCATTTTTGGCATTTTACAGTTCTAGTATCGTTTGTCTTGCTTTAGGTCTCTTTCCAGTTAGATTATCAGGTACTCTGGTTAGCCTCACAAATATACTCTTATCCAGTCTCTCTACTTTGCACATCTTCTCTGCTATGGTTTCTTCCAATAAGCTCTCTGCATATCTTTAAATAAGCTCCAGCCTCATTCTCCTACTTTGCACCTTTTAGGGTGTCTATTATCCTTTTATTGCCTGTTCAGTGACACTGAATAGCTCTCCTAATGTTCCTTCTTTGTTTTGCATCTTATTTCTCATCCTCTTTCTTGTCTTGTCTAGATTTCTCTTAGAGCTCACTGATTAATTTATCTATCAAGTCTCTTCTATTTTCTACAAAACTAGTATGTTCTATACTATGCTTTATGCATTTATTGTCCTCCTTACTTCCTAAATCCCTATTAGATTTCTAATTGTAACTTCAATCTTATCCTTTTGCTGGTTAATTACATTGCTGAAATAATTTAATTGGTTTTCTAAGTTTACTGGAACATGAGTTCTTTTTATAATAGCTCCTTTTTTATGCATTCAGTATAATGCTCTGGAGTTTTCAGTTTCTTTCTGTTATGTCATATTACTTTGAAGTCTCAAGTAATATGAACTCTCATCCCTCCCCTTGTGAGCCTGATCTAAAACTCAGCTGGATATTTCCTTTTCCTACACTTAAATGCTCCCAAAACAGCAACAGCCACAAAGTAATAACAATGCACAGAACTTGGTTTATCTTCCTCAAATAATGTCTACAAATGACCAATAGTAACAGGAAGATAAGATTAAAGAACCAAACATTTGAAAGATATAAACCCAAATCATAGTAAGATCACATTTATGCCTATTAAATGACTACTATTTAATCAAGAATCAATCAGAACTTTCTTGGAAACGTGAATTACCAGAGCATAATGGAGAGAGAAAAAGCTGTTCTAATGCAAACTTGCTTCATTAGGAAATGAAAGCCTCCTCAAAATATCCTAAATCAAACATCTAAGGTTTCTTGAAAAAGGTATATTTTTTAAAACATTTTTTTAACTAAAGGAGCCCAAGTATTTTTTTCCATCAAATACTTACTACTCTCTTGCTATGTTTCATAACATACCAAAAATGACAGGAATTATCCATTCTTTGTCCTTCTCCCTCCTTAGGGATTTTCTTTAATACGTTACCCTAGAGTGCCATTCACATAGCAAGAGACAAGATTTCATCCTTCCTTTATAGTATTACACACTTTTTTATATACCAAAACTGATTTTGTTATTTTATTGATAATTTTAATGTGTGTTTTTCCTTTGCTTAAGATTGGTAGCAGTCCCAATTACACATAAGTTGGAGCCCACTCAAAAGTGGGTGGAAAGCAGGGAAAATAGCTAATTAGAGCTCTTTTCCTTCAGATAGCTCCCAACTTCCAAAAAAACTAAGTTTTCTTCTTTTCTCAGATAGTAATCAATTTTTTTTCTAAATTAGTTTGTTTCCTGCTTTGTTTTTTTTTTTCATGGTTCTCTCTCTCTCTCTCTCTCTCTCTCTCTTTCTTTTAATAGTTTATTTCTTTATTGAATCACTGTGGGAAAAGTTACAGAGCTTTCGGGTTTAGGTCTCAGTCATGTAAGTATCAAACACATTTCCCTTTACCACTACTTATTTTTAACCGTGAACCCCAATAGAACCCCACCTCCCACCCCTCCCAATTCCTGTGAGGCAGATGAGTTCTAGTTAATACTCTATCTACTTTGACTAGATACATTGTTTCGATAGAAGATACACAATTATTGTTTAGAGTTTACGACCCCCCCCAATCAGATATGCTGAAAGAGTGTTGTGAAATGATTTGCTTTCTACAGCTTGGTTTAAGAATAAAATGATGTCGCGGCCGCGTGGTTTTGGATTTCTGCTGTTTCACTTATTAACTCTGGAAGTATTTCTATTAAAAGTTAGATAGTTAAGAGATTGGTTTCTGTGCTCTGGAGTCGTGGCCGTGCCAGAGAGCCGCTCGTGGGGGGCAGCTGGTGACCTCGGTCGGGCGTGAAGGATGGCCCAGAACGCCCCCTTCCCACGAGGCCCCCGCTGCCCCCCCCCCCCGCCCCCGGCTCAAACCTGCTGTCCACAAGGCTCCCGTGCGGCCGCCATCTTTCTTTCCAGAGAGGATCAGGGAGCGGGACAACACCCTTTCCCCTCCGGGCAGGCTTGGTGGCGCGGTTTAACACATAGTCCATTTGCTTTTCTGCTCCAAGCGGCTGGTTCTCTGTGCTAAGTCCTTGTGCCCCCGGGGCCGTGGCCGTGCCGGAGAGCCGCTCGTGGGGGGCAGCTGGTGACCTCGGTCGGGCGTGAAAGATGGCCCAGAACGCCCCCCTTCCCATGAGGCCCCTGCTGCCCCCCACCCCCGGCTCAAACCTGCTGTCCACAAGGCTCCCGTGCGGCCGCCATCTTTCTTCTCTCTCTCTCTCTTTCATTCTTTCTTTCTTTCTTTCTTGAATCACTGTGAGATAAAGTTACAAAACTTTCATGTTTGGGTTTCAGTCATACAATGATTGAACACCCATCCCTCTACCAGTGCACATTCTCCACCACCAATATCCCCAGTATTACCTTCACCCCCTTTCTAAACTTCCCACTACCTCTATGGCAGACAGTTTCCCTCATACTCTCTCTCTCTTTTGGGGCATTATGGTTTGCAATATAGATACTGAGAGGCTATCACGTTTGGTCCTTTATCTACATTCAGCACACATCTCATTCCGAATGATTCCTCCAACCATCACTGACTTAGTGATCCCCTCTCTATTCCAGCTGCCATTTAAAAAAAATTTAATGAAACATAATGAGATAGAATTACAGACTTACACACTTTCGTGATTACATTTCAGTCATACAATGGTTGAGTACCCATCCCTCCACCAGTGCCCATTCTCCACCACTAATGTTCCCACTAATGTATCCCTCTCGCCACCCCCACCCCATCCCCCACTGCCTCTGTGGCAGGCACATTTCCTTTTATTCTCTCTCTCTCTCTCTCTCTCTCTCTCTCTCTCTCTCTCTCTCTCTGTCCTTTTGGGTGTTATGGTTTGCAATTCAGGTAATATGTGATAATCATGTTCGGTCTATAGTCTACTTTCAGCACACATCTCTCCTCCTTTGCTTGGTGGTTCATTCTCTATCTCAGCTACCTTGTCCTCCAGCATGTGAGGCCAGCTTCCAAGCAGTGGATGAACGCTCCTGGCTGGCCCTTATCCCTACTATCCTTGGGTGTTAGTCTCCCATTATGTTACTTTATATTCCACAAATGAGTGCAGTCCTTCTATGTCTGTCCCTCTCCTTATGACTCATTTCACTTAACATGATACTCTTCATGTCTATCCACTTATATAAAATTTCATAACTTCATCTTTTCTAACAGCTGCATAGTATTCCACTCTATAGATAACCAGTCATCTGTTCTTGAGAACTCAGTCCAACTGCCTTCTCCTGCAGCTCATGAGATAGATTTACAACTATGGGGCTATATTCCTGGCCCTTTTGTCTACTGTCCTTGGATGTCAGTCTCAAATTGTGTTATTTTATATTCCAACAATGAGTGCAGTCATTCTATGTCTGTACCTCTCTTTCTGCCTGAGTGCAGTAGTCATATTTTTAAATCATAAGTCTCACCAGAACATCAGTGGACTAATTTCCTCTTCTTGCTTCATAATAATAGCTTTCGTACTCATCTGTTATTAGGTGTTTGTATTGTTTCAATATCTTTGATATTATATTCAGTGCTGCAATGAATGTAGTTGTATATCGAGTGACCTTTAATATTTAAAAATTAAACCAGAATAGACAGAATTGTCTTTTTATCTTTATTTTTGCTCCAAATTTTAATATTCTCTTGCTTATATTTGTTTTTTGAAAAAGGAAATTAAAATGAATCCATAGCCTGTTAACACCATTTGGATATGGTTTTACTGCCAAAGAAGTTTAAAGCAAAACAGGGTTTACTTTAGAAAAATCACAAATAAAAGACTTTATTTTATTCCTAAAGGAACTAGAAAAAGAAGGTAAAAACTAAACCAAAAATCAGATTCCAGAGATTAATCACATTTCCATTTGCATCTCACTCTTATCATTTAATTAAAAAATTATCTGTGTTTCATGTCACTCTTAAATGTGTCTTCTCTATTACAAATACTGTTATACTCTTTTGTACTAAAAAGTCTATCATTAAACATTTAATGTTTCATATTGTTACTGTGTCTGGCATATCGAATACTCTCGGTAGCTTGCCGGGCTATAAGTCATATGACATTTATTTTGCTTATATATTTAAGGGAGTTTTAATATTTGTTTGGGGACCACACTTAGGTGATGCTTGGGAACTTTTACCTATTCTGAGCTTAGAGGTTGCTCTCAGGAGTGCTCAAAATACCATTTATCAAACTTTGACTACCAAGCATGCAAAATATATCATCAGCCCTTAGAGCTTTCTTTCTAGTTTCTGTATTATTATTTTCACACTCTGTTTAATTGTTAACCTCACTCTGAAGAGCCCGATGTTATTTTCCTTCTCCTAGCACAAGTTATAGTACTATACTTCTCACACATGTACTTCAGTACTTTCTTTTTTGTATTTGTTTGTTTTGGGACACACTCCATAATGCCCAGGGATTACTCCTGGCTATGTGCTCAGGGGTCACTCCTGGCAAGCTCAGGGCACCATATGTGGTGCCAGGAATGAAAACCCATTGGCTGCAGGAAAGATATGCACCCTACCCACTGTACCCACTTTGTCCCTACTTTGCTTTTTATGAAATTTTAGCCTCGTTACAATTATACACTTCTTAAATTTTTGATATAAAATGAAAAAGATGAAATATATAATGAATTTTTCACACTATCTCTGTTCTCTCCAGCACAAACCATGATACTAGTTTCTAATGAATTTTTCTAGAAACATTCTAGAACATTTATATAGAATATAAACATAGATATGAATGTAGAATAATAAAAATGCTTATATTTTAACACTGAATACATTACACAAAAACATTTATGCCTCATATTTTGTTATGTTTATTTTGTATTGTTACGTATTCAAATAGACTTGCTTATTTGCTTTTATGTCAGTATATATACGTGCCCAATTTAACAGTTCACACTTCCACTATTTTGTCACTAACAATGATTGTGCATGAACTTCTTGTTTGCATATGTATATGATATATTGATATACATATTATTTTGCATGTATTTCCTAAAGTAAACATTTATAGCAAAGTAAGCACTGATTTATTTGATATCAATATAATCTAGTATACACTAATTATGTTTAAAACTTTACTGAATGAAAGTAGCATCCACATCAAGGAGAGGTCAGAATATTGGGCATTTAAAAAGAACTACTTTCGTTTAAATAGTGAGCTCACACCTTTTACTAAACTATCCGCAATTTTTAACTTAGGAAGAAACACTATTGACACAATCTCCACAGCAACATCCTTTAAGATTTGTAAAATCCAGGAACTATCATCTTCAGTGGCTTTAATCCTATTTTTCAGTTGATTAATTTCTTCATTCATACCTTCAGCTCTTTTCCTAAAACCTTCTTGAAGGATCTCTTCCTGTACCTAAAATTAAAAAAAAAAACAGAAGAAGGAAATTCAAAATTCCTTGTTGGCTCAGAAATATATTTCATATTTAGGAATTTTCTCCAACTACCTATCTTACTCCTATATTTCTTTTCTCTTGCTCAATAACCAAAGAAGACATTTGAAACAAAGGAGATGCCCAGTTTGATCTGAATACTGAGATTCTGCATACTCTTCATCATCTTTACTAATTTCCAATCCTCCATAGTGGGTGATACCACGTCAACCCCTGCGCTCATTGAAAAACTACAGAAATGGTGTGTTAGTAACTTCAGGATACAGTGGAAAGGAGAACACTTTCTGTTTGTCAGTTTCATAAAGGTTGATTAAAAGGGGGCAATTGGTCAAATCAGTTTAGGAACCTCTGCAATTACTCATAATGAGATAAGGTTTCACAAGGATGCTACTTGAATATGTTCAGTACAAAAAGTTTAGGTGAGAGGTAGTCTTGGTATAATAGCACTAATTTTCAGCCCTACATGTGATGGTGCAAATACCCAAATGCAGAAATAATGGAAATTTGTTCACTGTTGTAACATCTGTGATGAATATGTCTGGATATCAATTAAAAAATTCTCCCTATACAGTATGATTATTGGAGTAAAAAATCTAAACTACAGGAAATTAAACAATATAACAATCTGCCATGGTCCTGTGATTTAAGTCTAAACATTTCTGATAGTTTTTATAAGCACAGCTTTACCTCAGGTCTGTAGCTGGGAGCAGACTTTTTAGTAATTGTCAGAGATCTTAGTACAGCAAACCACTGTTGCTTATATTAAACACATATGGTTGTAATCTGTTGTTTAGTAAGGTATTCCTAAATCATTTGAAATCCTCAAAACAACAACAAAAATTATATTTACATTGTTCCCAAGGCTTGAGACAATCATGTGCATTTTGAAGTCTACAGAGTAGAACAAATAGCTTCTTTCTAAATAATAACTTTCTTTCTAAATTTCTAAATTTCTTTCTAAATAATAACTTTCTAATTAATAATTGGAGTTATTAACAGAATTCAGTATTGTAATAAATCTTAAGCAGTAAAAGGGAAAATTATAGCATTAATAACCTGAAGAACCACATTTTGATAGTACTTAGCATTTTTCCCTATTTTAAACAAAAGCCTCTGAAGGTGAGCAGCCAAGCACCCACCCAAACAGAGCCCTGGCAGCCTCTCACTCCCACACTGCATAATCACCATTATGCCTCCAGCCAGATCCATTGTCTTGGGACCAAGGCAAACCCAGAAATTAATCTGCTGAAACTTCTGGTATTCAGATATTTGTGACTGAAATCTCCAGGCTTTCTAGCAGTCAGACTGCGGTACTATCACCCACCTCCTTATATTCTCAGAAGCCCCAACAGTAAAGACTCACCCCAAATGCACAGCCCACTTAAACATTTAACTCTAGCCCTACCACCCAGTAAAAAATTCTGAACTTCCTGGAGCTACATCTTCAAACTCTACAAAACTGATAATCCCTTAGAAGCACTCTAGATTGGATGGGATGTAACATAGAAGACAACTAATCTCCACTAACAAAACAGTAGCAAAGAGTACTTTACCCGAAACAATATCTTAGTGTCCCTCATGCAAGGACTTAATGTCTCCATGGTGAGATATAACAATTTACAGTAATTTTCTTCTAAGGAAATATTTTTTGAACATTCTCTTAGCAATATATTGATAACAAATAATATAAAATAAATAATTGTGGGATTGCTATTGGGGCAGATTTGAGAGGTCTTTGGGAAAATTGGAGACAATGGTTGAGAGAATGTGATAATGATGGTAAGATTGGTGTTAGAATACCGAATGCCTATGACAAATCATCATGAACAACTTTGCAAACCACATGTTTATATAAAGTGTAGTGGATATTTTATGTGAGTAGGCTTTACCTATTTTGTGTAAACTCCAAAAGTATAGTAGCATAAGTAAAGTAAGTAAAGGCCCTCCCGTTGTTCATCGATTTGCTCGAGCGGGCCCAGTAACGTCTCCATTGGAGATTTTGTTATTACTGTGTTTGGCATATCGAATACATCACAGGTGGCTTGCCAGGCTCTGCCGTGTGGGCGAGATACTCTCAGTAGCTTGCTGGGCTCTCCGAGAGGGGCGGAGGAATTGAACTCGGGTGGGCCATGATGGCTGCGTGCAAGGCAAACACCCTACCGCTGTGCTATCGCTCCTTTTAAAGTTTTACTAAAGACAGGTAAGGCATGATTATTACTATAATAATATCGAAATATAAAATAAATTTTAATGTAATGTACTTTGGATTCCAGAGTTGAGAAATTGTATATTATATAATGTATGCATATTATGTAAATGAGAATAAGCATTTTATTATATTGTATTAAGGGGATTATTTTCATTATTTGCATAGGCTAAAATAATATAGTAATTACAAATTGTCTTCTAGTAATTTATTTTCTGATCATTCTATTTGCAATTTCTTAAAGTTTTGTTGGAACGAGTAATATAAAGTAAATTTGTTATGTATCTAAATGGAAGGTTGAATATGGGAGAGAAAATGGGGACATTGGTGGAGAGAAGGTCACACTGATAGTGTTGGAACACTAAGTGTGTGAAACAAATGTGTAATGAACAACTTTGTAAATCACAGTGCCTTTAATAAAAATAGTATTTATTTTTAAAAAGTCTCAGGACATAAGTCTTTCATCAAGCATGATTTTGACCTAGGGGAAATATATAGGATGTTCTGTTCTCTTTAACCTGTCCTCCCCTCATCTGCCAAAGCAAAATAGCACAATGTAGTATAAAAAATAACGTTATGGACAAAAGAGAAAGAAAATAGATAATCATGAGACTCACTAATCATAAGCCTCCACTATATTTATGGAACCTGCCTAGGAACCTCAATATAACATGTCTCAGAAGGTCAGAACACAGTAAGTCATATTAACCAATGATGTACACCAGATCTACACATAAAGTGTCTGTAAAACAAATTTTCCTAGAAACTTCTTGTGACAGTGAAGACAAAATACACACACACACACACACACACACACACACACACACACACACACACACTGAAAAGAAACAAAGAACCATTGTTGGGAGAGCCATGGTGAAGAAGAAACCTTGTTTAGCATTGGTGGGATTGTCATCTGGTTCAGCCTCTAAGGAAAATAGTATGAAAGCTACTTTAAAAAATAAAAATAAAACTTCTACATAACTTTGTGACTACTTTTTAGCATCTAGCCATAAAACACAAAAATATAAATTTGAAAAGATGTGTGCATATCCATGTCCATTGCAGAAGTTAGCACAATAGCTAAGATGTGGAAGCAACTCAAATGCTCAGTGATAGATTAATGAGTAAGGAACTTGTGGTATTTACACACATCGACTACCACTGAGATAAAAGAAAATATAAAGTTTTACAGTTTTTTGCAATTTAGATTTGGGAGAGTATTATATAAATGGAAACAAGTTATTTGGAGAAGAACAAATACCAAATAATCCCACTCACGGTGGTATTAAATATTAAAAATTGTAGGGTGACATTGCTTTGTCCTTCTTCCACAAGAAGCTTAGGTTTATCTGGTTTTCACTCGCCCATGTGCCAGGGCCTGCTAATATCATCTCAGACTCAGTTTATGTTGTTGGTCTCTTCCCTGGTATTGTGACTGAGTTTCTAAATACATCAAATGCTTATATAGCTCAACAATTGCTTCAGCAGCAACAGTCTCTTTTACAAAAGTGCTCTGAACTTGTTTTTATCACTGATCAGATCTCGTTCTGGTCTGTCTGGACCTATGAACCTGGCATAGTTTAAAAAAAAAAAAAGGAGGTATGGTCCATTTGACTCCTTGTCCTTGACACTGTTCTCTTTACAATTTTTGAATTTACCTCGAGGGGAGCCATATACAGCAGCTGAAAAGTATTTTCAGGAAGATGCACAGACTCAGAAAACTACTAATTCTTCTATTTTGATTAAAATTGACAAAGACTGGGCAGCAGGGAGACACCTCATTCGAGGAAAAGGCTATATTTCTCTTTCAACAGATAACCCCACCAATAAACTTTGGGTCCCATTGCATTTCATCAGGAGCCAAATTCATCTGCCTGCTTTAACTTTCAGACCTTCTCAGTCTTACAACTCTCTAAATTCCAGCTCCAAGTCATCACCAAGCTGATTTCACCTAAAATTCACAGGTAAATCAGAGAAGCCAGCATCAGAAGGCCTGCAACAAAGGCTTCTAGTTCCTTTAACATATCATGAGATCAAATTAAGAGCATTCCTTATTCCCTTCTCTTACAGGTTGTGGATTGGGCAACTCCAGAACCCCATATTTTGGATTAACAATTCTTTACTTTAACCCTCTCCTTGGAATTCACAGGTGTCTCAGCTCTCAAAGGAGAAAAGAATGACTTTTAATAGAAACACCTTTTAATTTTTCTCTAGGATAACTGTCGGAGTTCCCCCCTGTCTCTTTCATTACCCACAGGCATGGAGATGTACCAAACCCCGATGGTTGAAGCATCTGATAACTTTAAAAAAGTGTTTTTTCCAAACATAAGCTAGGTTGCACATCTATGACTGCCAGTGAACCTGACCAGAGGATGACTGCATTCCCCTGCTGAAGCACTCCTGACAGAAGTCGTGATGCTCCTTTTCCAGTGCTCCCTGCCTGATCCAATGCTCCCTGAAGTTCATCAGACTACTATAGCTGCTACTCTGGGACTCATTGCTGTGACCACTACTGTTGCTGATGCAGAAACAACTCTTCAAATTGTGATCCACACACTTCATTTCTTCAACATGTGACTAAATGACTCTGATCACTCCTGGACAGTGCAGGAATATCAGACACTTTGCAACAAGCACTGCTCTGGGTTCAGGGGTGGACTGAAGTCCAACAAATGAGACTTTTTTGTTTGTAATTGTTACTCTTTCTATTTCAAATTTTTGTGTTTTTGTAAACAGAAAAGGGGGAGATGTAGGGTGACATTGCTTTGTCCTTCTTCCACAAGAAGCTTAGGTTTATCTGGTTACACCCATCAATCTGGTTACACCCATCACAGTGCTCCTGAGGCACTTCCACTCCATTGTGTTTATCTGTAAACAGTCTTCCCTATGCTCTCCTCCCCACCCAGTTAATCAGCTTTCCCCCTAATCAGACTCTGTTAATTTATAAGGTCAGATTCCCAGAAATCTATGATTTTATATGTATGAGTGAAATATTGCCTTTCTCCTCTCCTTATGCCTTATGAACTGTTTACTTTAAAGCAATATCCTTTTGTATAGATACAGGAAAACCGTTAACATTATGCTTTGTAACTTAGGATTTGATTGGCTTTGAATATTATTCACTCCCGGGCATCTGCTTTCTCGACTTAAGCCTCAGTTGCCCTTAGTTCCTAACACCCCAAAAGCAGGGTCCCGACGAGGGACTGAATGGACCCAGGGCAAGCGGTGAGCTACCCTGGCATCGAAAAGGGCCAGGCCAAAATGCCACGATTCTTAACTATAAGTTAAGAGTTTGATCATAGACAAATGCTGTCATGATCCAAAGTAACGACAAGACTAGGATCCTGCTAGGGGTGGGAAAGACTATCTGGCCTGAGCACTGTAGTCTGAGATCGAGATAGCCCTAGGAGAGCAATTCTATAAGTTTAAGGTATTTCTTACTGTATCCATACAAAATGATTTATATTATATATGCTTATACGCTTGTCAGACAAGGAGAGGAGAGACACACCCTTGGGATTCTGCTCTAGGGTGGGTTCTCCTGCTGAGAAAGGATGTATCTTAGGAGCGGCTTTCCCTGAGGCTAAGATTTCTACCCCTATTGATTGTGACCACGCCTATGTGTAATTATTACCCCAACCCCTCATGTTTTGGAATTTAACTGTACTGTAGGAGTGGGCTAGGGGTTCAGAAAAATGAAGCAGAGGAAGAGAAGCAGGATGAAGGGGAATGGAGAAGGAGAATGAAGGAGTATGGGGGAGGAAGAAGTAGGGAGCAGAGACAGAGTTGGAGAGAGGATCAGAATAAACTGCTACTAAGACCTACCAGCCTGGCCCTTGTTCCTTCCTTCGCCTGACCATCGCCATCGACCTCCCCAGGGTGGGAGAAGAGTGAAACTACCGAACGCGGGCGGCGGGAGAGATAGAGCCACCGCTGCTGGGTGCTGTGCCCCTTTTGTGTGAGTTTACACAAAAAATAAGCAAGAAACCAGATCATATTAAATGACAATATGATGATGACAAACACTTGGTCCTGAATTACAAAATTAAGATTTTCAAACCAGGGGAAAAAGTGAGGAAAAGGAGAGGTGAAGTGTCATACTGGAGGTAATATAAGGACACTGGTGGAAGATCTTGACACTTTTGTAGTGCCCACAATTATAATCACGGTATAAGTCAATAACATAATTGAGGGACAGAAAGATACTATGCAGGAGGTAAGGCACTTGTGTTGCATGGGGCTGATCTAGAATTGGATCCATGACAATATGGTGAGAGGTGTGGACCTACCATCGCCCACAGAAAGAAAAGTAGAAGAAAATGGAATTGCTAAAACTATGTAAACAGATTAATTAAACTATGAAAATAATTAAACAATGGAAGAGAGAAAACTCTTTATCTTGTCTCTGATCCTATCAAGTGTATGTAGAATAGAACAGGCCCAGTTCCAAGGCGAGACAGATTTACCTTCAGTTTATGTTCCAACATTTTGGTATGCTCTTGCAGACTTATTTCTCTTTCTTGAATCAGCTTTTTTTCCAGTTGAGCTATATTTTCCTGTAGACTTTTATTTTCTGCCTCCATCAGTTGCTGCTGCTCCTGTTGTTTCTGTTTTAACAGCTCCTGCTCCTTCTCAATTCTCTCCCTCCTAGTCCGCTCCTCTGCCCCAGGAAGAGAGAAGGAAGAAAATTCAGTGAGGAATCATCCCTAATTCCTGAGTTCAGAAGTCAAACCATAGAGGAGTGAATGCTGGATAATATCTGAATTTCTGCCCCGTCCTGCTATCCCAACCATCAGAGCACATTTGAGAATGTGATGAGAAAGGCCCCCTCTGACAGAGGTACAATCATGAATCTCCTGTGTTCAATTTGGTAGAGTATGTTCCGCACTAGAACAGAAAGTCTCTGCAGAAAGTCTTCTCTAACCAGTATGTCAAAGGGCAATGCAGAAATCTACCCTCCCAATGATGAGCAGAGCCCTGCCCGGTACCTTCTAAGGCTTTTTCTCTTTCAGTGAGGGCTGTGTCTAACTGCAGGATAGATCTCTCCACTGTTTCCTGTGACTTCAAGAAGTTCTGAAAGACCTCATTTGACTGAAAGAAAAAGAAGGTTCAAAGGATTCAAATTGCCACTTATATATTATGTCCATGCACATTTTTTCATGCTTAAAAATTATGCACAACCATCAGAGTGATAGTACAGCAGGTAGGGCATTTACCTTGCACCTGGTTGAACCAGGATCTATCCCCAGCATCCCATATAGTACACTAAGCACCACAAGGAGTAATTCCTGAGTGTAGAGTCAGCACCTCAAGATATAACACCCCCACTCACCACCTCCACCACCATCAACTTATGTAGAGGCTTCTTACAGAGTCCAACCTCATTGATCAAAGTCTTCTACTTTCTGTCTTCCTACCAGTGCTACTTCTTCCTACCTTCTCCCCAGAAAAATGGTGGAACTGAAAAGGTCATGTAATGATATGCCCCCCTCTGCTCTCATATTTGAATTTTATACTATGTTCCTCTTCACTCTATTGGAGAATATAGAGTATTTTCTATTATGTAAAATCTTTAGGTTATTCCTCACCTTCACACCTTTCCTGGACTTCTGCTTATAGTCCTGCTTTATTTTTTCCATTACTTCCATGTAACATTTGTGCCCTCCAGGAACAGAGTAAGCTCCCATTGAAATACTTTCCATCAGGGCCTTTGAAAGCTGCTCAATAATAGCCTGGCAACATTTAACAGATGCCTCTTCATTCTGCAGCAAAAATTCTTCTTTTTTATCTTTTATTATTTTCTGCAAAGGAAATATAAATGATATCATGGGAAGGGACAGTGGCAATAAAAACAAATAACCTGCTAAGAAGATGACTGTAACTGCAGTCTGCTGGTGTAAAGCATTCTGATAGGGAAGGAACTCTAATTAAAAGGGAACCAAATGTTTTCATTGACTCACAATCTTATAAACTATATGAAGGACATTTTTTCTCTTTTTGCATCACACCTGGCAATGCACAGGGGTTACTCTTGGCTCTGCACTCAGGAATTACTCCTGGCGGTGCTCAGGGGACCATATGGGATGCTGGGAATTGAACGCGGGTAGGCCACGTGCAAGGCAAATGCCCTACCCACAGTGCTATCGTTCCAGCCCCTCTATGCAGACTTTGAGAAAGTTTTCCACCTCTCTAGGTCTCTGTTGTTTCAACTGAACTATTGTACTTGCATAATCAAACTTCTATGATCCTTTGCAATTGTAGCATTCAATCTGTTCTTTCAGTAATGATACAACAAACATCACACTAAGAGAAAAATGGTATGGAAGACAGTTTTATAGGATAATTTTTTTTGTTTCCAGAAATGAGTATGTATCCATAGAAAAGTTTATCAGCTCAGGAGTGATTTGTCTTGTTCTGTGCATATCGGGACATTGTCTTATAATTTGCTTCAGAAGGATGTCTAACATGATTTTGCCTCAAAGATCAGAGAAATTTTTAAACAAAGAGCCATATTTTTAGGATAAAAAGAATAAGGAAATTCAGTGTCCTGAAGCTCTGTATTTCAAGAGATCCAAACTGCTTAGCCTGTGACAGAGCTGAAGTCAATAAAGGCACATACATGATTCATCAGTCAAGGGGATGGATGACAAAGGGCAATGCTAAATTACCACCAGCTTCTTCTGAAACTCTTGGTTTTCATCCTTGAAGGAATGCTTCATGAAAATTGCAATGGCCTCCTTCTCACACATTGCATGCATGTCCAGCAGTTCCTGGACCGTTTCTGTTGGAAATTCTACTTTCTGGGTCATTTGCTCACTGTAGTGATCAGATGCCATCTGTACTGCAGCTGAGTTCTCACACTGAGCCAGTGTTATCACTGCGTTCTCCAAACAAGGAACTGCTCCACCGTTGATGGTATCCACGTAGGTCACCACCAGAGTAGACAGACCTAAATAACAAATGAGGCAGGAAATTGAAGAGTTGAGTATCAATCACTCAATGGAATATAATATTCAGAATTGGAATTCAGTGTCTTCAGTTTTAAAAGTAAATGAATAAGTCAGAGAATTTTATAAATATCATATTATTGGTGAATAGGATCCAAGATTTGGAGACTACATCTCTAATCACTTAACACACAAACAGGTATTCTTCATTTATCTTCACTTTGTTTTCATAAGCTGGAAAGATAGCACAGTGGATAGGGCGTTTGCTTTGCACACAGCCAACCTGGGTTAAATTCCTACACCCCTCTCGGAAAGCCCGGCAAGCTACAGAGAGTATCCTACCCTCATGGCAGAGCCTGGCAAGCTACCCGTGGTGTATTTGTATGCCAAAAACAGTAGAAAGTCTCACAATGGAGACGTTACTGGTGCCCACTGGAGCAAATCAATGAACAACAGGACAGTGCTACAGTGCTACAGTGCTTTATTTTCATATTGATATTTCTTGTTGTGGGAAGGGCATTGTGAAGTCCATATTGCTTAAAAAACTACCTTCATCCAAAATACTAAGGTATGTCTAGTAAATCTTTCCCATTAAGAAATTAAAAGCAGGGGGTATGGTGCTGCCAGCAGGTCAATCTTTACCTGTGAGGCGAGTGCATCAGCAGCCTATGGCACCGTCAGACTTTCAAATACCCCAAATTGCTGCTGTGCCTTTTGCCAGACCCCAAAAACTTGGGGCAAAGTTTACTAAGAAAATAAATGGCCAAAAGCTAGGTATGTGGGAGACACACCCACAAACCACCTCTGGTTCACCTATATATATAATTGGAGGCATGGCCTCTCTGGTTCCTGATTGAACTACTTAACGTCTATGATCCCAGAGACTCAGAAACAAATCTCGAACCTAAAGGATTTTGACAGAGATGCATCCTGTTCCTGCAGTAGCTTACGGGTGCTGGGCCACTACAGGTGGGATTAGGTTTCGTGCCTTGGCCTGTTCCCCTTGGTGGCCAGTGACCACCATCCTCCAGAGGCCACTGGACAGTCAGGTTTGGGCCTGCAGTGATGAGACACATGGGGCCTCATCAGATGGGGGTGGAACCAGTCCTTTCCTCACCCATCCCAACAAGACCCCCAAGTTGCTGCCTACAAATGGCCTCTCTGGATACCGATTAAGCTAATTAATGGCCATGATCCCAGAGACTCAGAAACAAATCTCGGAACCCAAAGGATTTTGGCAGAAATGCATCTGGACTGCATACAAGGTGGCCACCACCTCAGAGCCTATTGTAAATCCAGATATGAGCTGGCGGTGACGGGGGGCAACTGCAGAGGCAAAAGGACTTAATCCAGAGTTTAGCAGCTTGCAGCAGAAAAGTGAATGGACCATGCATTAAACTCCAGAGCCATGCCTCCCCGGGAGGGAAGGGTGTTGCTCCCTTCCGCCTTTTTCCTGCCCGGCAGCAAGGTGGCCGACACCTCAGAGCTTATTGGAAAGCCTTTTATGAGCTGGCGGTGATGGGGCAACTGCAGTCTCATGGGGATGGGGTGGTACCGGCTCGCCCTTCACACCCTACCGAGGTCACATGTTGCCCCCCACAAGTGACTCTCCGACATGGCCAAGGCTCCAGAGGCAAAAGGACTTAGTCCAGAGCCCAGTAGCTTGCAGCAAAAAAGTGAATGGACCATGCATTAAACTACGACTCCGACTCCATGCCTCCTCGGGAGGGAAGGGGTGTTGCTCCCTTCTGCCTTTTTCGCTCCCCAGCAGCAAGGTGGCCTGCCTCAGAGCTTATAGGAAAGCCAGGTATGAGCCAGTGGTGATGGGGCAACTGCAGTCTCATGGGAAGGGGGACGGTACCGACTCATCCTTCACACCCTACCGAGGTCACGAGTTGCCCCCTATGAGCGGCTCTCCAGCACAGCCATAACACCAGACACACAGAAACCAATCTCATAATTATCTGGATTTTTGCAGAAATCCAAAATTGCGAGGCCACTATTGTGGCCACATGAGATTATACAATTCTCATAACCAGCTGTAGAAAACAAAGTATTTCACAATGCCTTTTCAGCAATTCTGATTGTTGGGGGGGAAATTCTAAACAATAATGATGCATCTTTTGTCAAAATAATGAATGTAATCAATATAGAGAAGAGTTAAGTGGAAATCATCTGCCTCACAGCCATTGGGAGGGGTGTAAGGGGGTTATATTGGGGGTTTGGTGGTGAAAAATGAGTACTGGTGAAGGGAGAGATGTTTTATCATTGTATGACCGAGACTTAAACCTGAAAGCTTAATAATTTTTCCCACAGTGATTCAATAAATAAATATAAGAAGAATAAATAAAAAGAAATTTAAAAGCAATACATACAAACATAAACAAGATTCATGATAAATTACTTTTATAAAATTCTGAAATTTTATATACATTTCTGAAGAATTGTAGTCTGATAGTTATTTTTGGATTCCTCTATTCTCTCAAAACATCTGCTCTATTCTTGCAAAGAAAACTTTAATGCAGGATCTCCCTTAAGAAACTAGTATATTTTTTTCATATCTGGTTACCAAGTTTATCATTGGTGCAGTTATTTTTGAATAAGTGAAAAATTATAGCTATGTAACAAAGTTTGCCATTTAAAGAGATGTTACTAGCCCCAAAGATGAGATAAATATAAACTATGCATAGCACAGTGGTAGGGCATTTGCCTTGCATGCAGCCGGCCCAGCTGAGCCAGGTTCGATACCTCTGCCCTCTCGGAGAGCCCGGCAAGCTACCGAGAGTATCTCGCCTGCATGGCAAAGCCTGGCAAGCTACCTGTGGTGTATTTGAAATGCCAAACACAGTAACAACAAGTCTCACGATGGAGACGTAACTGGGCCCGCTCGAGCAAATCAATGAACAATGGGAGGACAGTGCTACAGTGCAGTAGGAATCTACATTGATCTATGTAGAATAACATGGGTTTGTCCTTTCTGCCTTGCCACAGGAAGCTTAGGTTTATTGGATAAGTCCCATCACAGTGTTCCCATTCCTTTGTGTTTATTTGTAACTTCTTTCCTTGTGCTTTGTTGACTTGTAAATAATGTTTTTCTCTTCTCCTTAAGTCCTTTGCATAGTTAAGAGAGCAATATCCTTTTTGTATGGACACAAGAAGACAGTTAATGCTATGCTTTTGTAACTTGGGAGTTAATTGACTCCAGATAATATTTACCTTCTGGACATCTGCTCTCTCGATTTAAGCCTCAGTTTCCCTAACTTCCTAGCACCCCCAAAAGCAGGGTCTTGACGAGGGACTGGATGGGCCCAGGGAAAGCCATGAGCTATGTGCTACCCTGTCATCTAGATGGGCCTGGCCAAAGTGCCATAATGCTTAACTATAAGTTAAGAGCCTGGTCATCGACAAATTCTGTCATGATCCAAAATGTAATAACTAGATTCGGATGCTGCTAGGGCTACGAATGATTGATCTGGCCTGAGCACTGTAGTCTGAGTCTGTGGCAAGATGTTCCCAAGAGAGCTGCCCCACAAGTCTCAGTGTATTTCTTAGTGTGTCCATACAAAAATAACTAATATTAAGATGTTAATTAAGTTATTGGGCTAAGGAGAAGAGGAACACTCCTAGGTGGTTTTTCGACCCTAAGTCTGATGGGCAGTCAAGAAGGGTTTTCTTATGTTAATGTTGCAACCAGACTGGGTGTAGCATCTGCCCAGAGAGCTAGGAGTTGGAGAGAAATGAGAGTTGGAGGAGTTGGGAGAGAGAGCAGAGAGCAAGATGGAGTGCAGAGAGATGAGCGGGAGAGACAGGTGGAGACAGGAATGAGGTGCAGCGTGAGACTAGAATGGGAGGCTCAGAGAGACTGGGGCAGGCACGTGGGGAGAATGGAATAAAGGGCAACTCATCAACCAACCAAGTTGGCCCTCATTTCCTCCTCCGTCTGCCCCATGGCCACGGTCTGCCCTGGCTGAGGGTGACCACCCAACCCAGGAGGCCAGGGAGTGAGCCATCAGGGCCTCCCCTGGCCACCTGGAGATTTACAGATTCGTATTTCCATATGAATATTTGGATATTTCTATAGAATAAAAATGCTCTAACTACATTACGAAGCATGTTCTCCACATCTTGTATCCTACACATAGGAAAAAATGAGACTCACGTCTGTTCTTGGGCACTCAGGTTTTTTTTCCAGATTCTGGCTATTGTAAAGAGTGCTGCAATGAACAAACAAGTGCAGATGTCACTTCAACTATACTTTTTTGCCTCTCTGGAATATATTCCCAGGAGTGGTATTGCTGGATCAAATGGGAGCTCAATTTCTAATTTTTTGAGGATAGTCCATACTGTGAGAGTAGACTATAGACCGAACATGATTGCTACTCAATGTCTCTTTTGCAAACCACAGCACTCAAAAGGAGAGAGATAACAAAAGGTAGGGTGGGATGGGGGGGTGGGGGGCAGGAGGGATACTGGGATCAGTGGTGGTGTAGAATGGGCACTGGTGGAGGGTTGGGTATTCGATCATTGTATAACTGAAACCCAAGCACAAAAATTTGTAAGTCTACAACTGTACCTCATGGTGTTTCACTAATAAAAATTTAAATTAAAAAAAAAAAAGGAGACTCACGTTTCCCGGTGACAATGACTCCCTCTTTGAGCGTCTTAACTCTTGCATTGGTGAATATATAGAAACAAAATTTTTTTGTTTGTTCCAGAAACTGGGGATCTAGTTGGTTTTCAGGCACATTCTCAATATTGGCTAGAAGATTTTTGTCATGTATTGGTCGATCAAAGACAAAACACTTTCGTTCTGGAAAGAAATTTCTAATAGACTCTCTGGAATTATTGGATGCTTCAATTTGGGAATTTTTGCCTAAAGAAGAAGGATTAAAAATATTTCAGTAAGAATAGTGTAGGGGCATGTGGGCTGAAAATAGTGCAGTGATTTTTTTTTTGTATCTTGCCATCTCTATGTTTATAACTCCTTGAACATAGACATCCAACATTTCTTTATACACATAATACTTACCAGCAAAAAACTACAAAAAGAAATTGGGGAGATATCTGATTCCAGTAAAATAAAACTAAGATTGGCATTCCAAACCTCAACATGGTAGGTTAGTTTGTCAAGTACATGCTGAAAATTTGATTTGACCAATGGCTTAAAGAAATAAAAAGTCAAAAGTAACTTTTAGTCTAATTGATTCTATGAGAATTAATTTGGTCCCAAAAATAAGAACACAAGTGATGGATACTGTAGCAATATTCTGAATATTAGTAAAAACATACTAGTTATTTCAGAAAAATTAGTTTGATGCGAAAACAAATAAATAGAATGTAATTTTTCAGAAAATCTCCATAAGGATAAATGTCTCCAAAATGTCACTTTACCTCTATGAGGTAAAGAAATAGAGGTCACTTGACAGTGTTGCTCTTCTGTTAATTGATTTTAATAAATGTCTTGAGAAAAAGGATAAATAAAACTGTTAAAACAATATACAGAAATCAGAATTGAAATAAAGGCTTGATGAAATATAACCCATTAAATAAAGGAATTTATTAATTTAATAATTGGGCTACTTATTTTATTCTAGTTTTATGTGGCTTTAAATGTATTAATAAATTCATTGCATTAAATATTTCAATAGAACCTAAGTATATTTCTTATCTGTTAAGAACAGCATTGCTCAATATTTGTGAAAAGAAGCACATGACACTGCAAATATAAGGATGGGCAATGGTACAGGAGGTAGGGTGCAAGCCTTGCATGCATTCTGCTTGGGTTTGATACCTGCCATCCCACATGGATTCTTGAACCCAATAGGAATGATCTATCAGTGCAGAGCTAGGAGTAAGCTGAGAGCACCACTGGGTGTGGCCCAAAAACCAAAAAGAAAAAGTATAAGGAATACTATATTATCAGAAATATTAAAAATATATATCTTGCATATATTTTTACAGTATAAACTTATTTTGAAAATGATTCCATGTCAACATTAAAATTTTATTTTTATCATTGAGAAAAATATGTGTACAAACTTTTTTGACTTGGAGGTTTATTTTAATGCCTGACAATATTTTGGTCAGTGTTCTTCCTCAAGAAAGGCAGGTAAAAAAGTGTTAGGTCTTTAGAAACATTAGTACTCATTGTTAGCAAAATATCAAATTTTAAAGTGTATAAAACACTAGTTTTTAGTTGTCTTAAACTTTATAATTTTATCTGTTTTGCCTTTGGGGGAAGGCCTGGGGGTTGGTTTGAACCACACTTGGCAGTGCTCAGAAATCACTCCTGATAGGGTTTGGAGGACCATATGAAATGCATGAAATTAAACCCAAGATGATCTATTTTGTTCTCTTCCATGAACTTAGTCCATGTCCCTAGAGTTTCTTCATAAAATTCAATCTAGTCTCAAATATAAACGCTAATCCAGAAAAGACAGAGTTAAGTAGCTCCCACACTCTATTGAGCCATCCAATTCCCAAGCCATGAACTCTTACTTTTACTCAGTTTCAAGGCATTTTCCAGGTACTCATCTTCTGTGACAAGGTGACCATCTATTTTCAGCTCCAGTGTGAAATCACGGACAGTCCAGATAAAGTCTGGAAAGAAACCCACAAATTCTGCAGAATCTTTTACTCCATCAGGGCAAGGAGAAGACCTTGTCTTAATGAATTCTGTGAGCTCTGTCACATAACTAGGACTTAGTTCAGGAAAAGAAAATTGCATCTACAACCCACACGTTTTTCTAATAAAAAAAGATTATCAATGTTCCTTTGGCCAGAGTCCCCTCTTACCACCTTTCTTGTCCCAGGGACAAGGAAGGACAAACTGATTCTGTCTCCATTCAAACAACACAAGGACACTTGGGGGTTTGGTTTTTGGAAGGATACTGCAGCTGCTCCAGGGCCTGGTGATTGATTGTGCCAATGCTATTGTAGACAAAGCTGCTGCACAGAAGTATAGCCAAGGAAAAGATCCACGAGTCGTTCTTAGGGTCACTCTGGGATAGAAGTTTGAAAAAAAGGGTAGCAACTTACTTTTTTGGAAACTGAATCACATTATCAACCATTCATTCATTTATTTATACTTGAATTAACCCACTCTTCATGCAAATAAATAGGTGTGAAGAGAAACATAAATGAAGGTATCAAACGCAATAAGTATAAGAAATGTCCTGTCATTTTAATACTTTCATAAATAAACTACTTTAAACATCATAAATTTTTCTTTTTTCAATTGGATAGAAATGTAATAGGGCCGGAGAAACAGTATAGTAGGTAGGGAAATTTTCTTATATATGGTTGACCCAGGTTTGATCCTTTGCATTCCATATGGTCTCCTAAGCCTGCTAGGTGTGATCCCTGTGCACAGAGGCAGGGAGTATGCTATACACATTGCCTAAAACCAAAATAACAAACAAGCACAAATCATAATATACATATAGAAAAGAATATATATGGTGTATAATTAGTTATTTAAGAATGAGTCTCAGAACATCCTCATTGTACACATATTTAGTTACCATCATGTATGTAAAATATACCAAAGAAGGCAAAACTAGATATTCAATTTATATTAAACATATATATGTGTGTGTGTGTATATATATACATATATTTTTTTTCCAGGAGAGTACGTGATGTTTCCCAGGGATTTTAGACTCCAGATAGTGAAGATAAAATAACATTTTCAAGAAATCGATGTCAAAGCAATTACTAGAATCCATAAGATATTGATAAGACAAATATCCACAAAAAAATGACAATTTCAATAATGATTTTCCCATAGGAATGGATACAAGCTGCAGGACCTCTAACTTTAAAATAAATTAAAATGGAGTCTGGAGAGAGAGCACAATGGATGAGACACTTGCCTTCCATGCAGCCAACCTGGGTTTAATCCCCATCATGGCATAGGGTCTCCCCCAAGACCCTCCGTGAGTGATTCCTGAGTGCAGAACCATGAACAAGCCTTGAGCACAACTGGTATAATCTAAGAGTTTTATAAAAATTAATTTAAATGTCATCAATAAGAACAATTCTTGACCTGAGATTACAGGGATAAACTACATGGCTTTCCTTATATGACCTTGGCTTAATCTCTGGAACTGTGCGTCTGGCTCTACCCCTGGTATTACCTGGTATGAGGTTCTCAGGGAAGATTAGGTGAACAACTGGGGTCCAAGGATAAGTCCCTGAGACTTGATTCAAGGGAAGAGCTGTAGGTGGCCCCTTCCCTGACAGGGCCCTCTTCATTTCCCATCAATGACTCCTCCCTCCCTCCTCAGACAGCCAGCTGCAACACCCAGCTGCTTTGTCTAACTTCTGGGACCATTGAGCAAGCTAATTTCCAGGCAGCCAGGGAGAGTGAAGATCCAGAATACTGGTTTTGGGATTGTGTGGGAGTCTCCCCCAAAAGGTGTTCATCTATTGTTATTCCTTTACTCTTAAGGTATATAAACCTAAGCCTGATTGCAATAAAGTGAGTCTTCTCTCTGTAGAGGCTCCCAAAGCTGTTGGTTATCTTTGTTTTGTCTTTGTATTATTATTTCATACAGCTCAGCATAATCATCCTCCTGTCCTTCTTCCCTGTCCTGTGAGTAATAGGTAGGCTGGGTGGACTGCCATGTCCGGCTCTCTTACTGGATCCCCGGACCCAACTAGTCAGAACAACAACGCAGTGTAGTTCTAAAGATTCCTGGAACTGCCAAGTGCTGAACTGAAGGCACTCAAGCACATTCGGGGTGGTCCTCAACATCACAGAGTTTGAACAGCACCATCTCATTAGTCCCTCAATCCTTTGCATAGGAGGTAAAGGACCTGTACAAAGAAAACTACAAAACGCTACTTCAGGAAATAAAAGAGGACATGAGAAAAAGGAAAGATATCCCCTGCTCATGGGTCGGGAGAGTTAACATTGTCAAAATGGCAATACTTCCCAAAGCATTGTACAAATTCAATATAATCCCTATAAGGATACCCATGACAGTCTTCAAAGAAATGGAGCAAACACTCCTGAGATTCATAGAACAATAAGCCCCCACGAATAGCTAAAGCAATTCTTGGGAAAAAGAAAATGGGAGGAATCAACCTCCCGAACTTCAAACTCTACTACAAAGCAGTAATAATTAAAACAGCATGGTACTGGAACAAAGGCAGAGCTGCAGACCAATGGAACAGGGTTGAATACACTGACATCTCCCCTCAATCATATGATCATCTAATCGTTGATAAAGGTGCAAGAAATGTGAAGTGGATTAAGGAAAGCCTCTTTAACAAATGGTGCTGGCAAAACTGTATGGCTACATGCAAAAAAATGGGCTCAGAACTCTACCTAACACCATGTACAAAAGTAAGACCAAAATGGATTAAAGACCTCAACATCAGACCAGAAACCATAACATACACTGAAGACAAAGTTGGCAAAACCCTCCATGACATTGAAGCTAATGGTATCCTCAAAAATGTCACACCACTGGCCGAGCAAGTGAAAACAGAGATAGATAAATGGGACTATCTTAAACTAAGAAGCTTCTGCACCTCCAAAGAAACAGTGACCAAAATACAAAGACAGTCTACAGAATGGGAAAGGATATTCGCGAATACACATCTGACAAGGAGTTGATATCAAGGATATATAAAATACTGGTTGAACTTCACAAGAAGAAAACATCCAACCCCATAAAAAATGGGGCAATGAAATGAACAGAAACTTTCTCAAAGAAGAAATCTGAATGGCAAAAAAGCACATGAGAAAATTCTCTACATCATTAATAATCAGGGAGATGCAGATCAAAACCACAATGAGATACCATCTCACACCTCAGAGACTGGCCCACATCCAAAAGAACAAAAGCAACCATTGCTGGCACGGATGTAGAGAGAAAGGGACACTCCTTCACTGTTAATGGGAATGCCAACTGGTTCAGCCCTTTTGGAAAACAGTATGGGCCATTCTCAAGAAATTAGAAATTGAGCTCCCATTTGACCCAGCAATACCACTCCTGGGAATATATCCCAGAGAGGCAAAAATGTATAGTCGAAGTGACATCTACACTTGTTTGTTCATTGCAGCACTCTTTACAATAGCCAGAATGTGGAAAAAACCTGAATGCCCAAGAACAGATGACTGGTTAAAGAAACTTTGGTACATCTACACAATGGAGTACTATGTAGCTGTTAGAAAAGATGAAGTCATGAATTTTACATACAAGTGGTACAACATGGAAAGTATCATGCTAAGCGAAATGAGTCAGAAAGAGAGGGATAGACAGAAAAATATTGCATTCATCTGGGGGACATAAAGTAACAAAATAGGAGATTAATACCCAAGAATAGCCGAGATCAGTACCATGAGGATTACTCCATGGCTTAGAGGCCAGCCGGACACTCTAGGGGAAAGGGCAGCTCAGATAGAGAAGGAAGCACCAAATAAAGGGTGTTTGGAGGATCCTCCCAGGAGGGGAGATACATGTTGAAAGTAGACTATGGACTGACCATGATTGCCACTCAATTCCTCTTTTGCATACCACAACACCCAAAAGGAGAGAGAAACAAAAGGGAATACCCTGCCACAGAGGCAGGGTGGGATGGTGGGGATGAAAAAAATAAAGGACACCAATTAGTTGATAATCACTCAAAGGGTCCCCTGCTTTTCCTGAGCATTGCTTCGGAGAACCAAATAGACAGACAAATAAAATAAAGCAGATCTCTAAGAGTTTGAAAAAGAATATCTGAGGTTAAATTTTTTTTAATTTTTATTTTTTGCTTTTTGGGCTGGAGTGATAACACAGCAGGTAGGATATTTGCCTTGCATGGCACCGACCCAGGTTCTATTCCTCTGTCCCTCTCAGAGAGCCCGGCAAGCTACCAAGAGTATCATGTCCTCATAGCAAAGCCTGGAAAGCTACCCATGATGTATTCGATATGCCAAAAAAAGTAACAACAAATCTCACAACGGAGATGTTACTGGTGCCTGCTCGAGCAAATTGATGAACCATGGGATGACAGAGCTACAGTGCTACAGTGCTTTCTGGGTCACACTGGCAATGCTCAGGGGTTACTCCTGTCTCTGTACTCAGGAATTACTCATGGCACTACTCAGTGGACCATATGGCATGGCAGAGACTGGCCGCATGCAAAGCAAACATTCTACCCATTGTGCTATCACTCCATCCCTAGTTATTTAAAGTCTTGAGCAGAGTGTTCAAGAATGAGTAGGTGGTAGATGGAAAGAAATGAAGGTGATGCAGCAGATACAAAGATCAACAGAAACAAAATTAAAAATGTTAACACATGGGGAAATTTACAATAAAAGTTATTAAATTTGATTTGAGCAGAGGAAAGGTACTGAAGTGAAAGTTGGATATTGAAAACTAGCCTAAATTGTTCAAATCAAATTTGTTTGTATAAATAATAACTTAATCCAGAAATCTATTATATGTATAATGTGAACAGTGCCTTAGACAAATAAACAAGTAAAATTTATGTCTATAAGATTCTATGTGAGAAGCTGTGAGGGGTTAAAAATGGGGACAGTCTATTCATTAGTTATCTGTTCTACTAGTTATCACTTGATATAGGAAATAGAATTATAAGAAACTAAATTATTCAGTCAAAATCGCTGTTAGTGTTTGATATATGACTTTAATATATATAATTTCTAAATTTTGTACAGAAATGTAAAAAAAATGAAGTTTCAAATACTATTTTTATGTCTCAAAGTTAAAAAGAATACAAATGAATCATTTCATCTTGAATAAAAAGCTAAATTGACAACTGTCCATTATAACAATTGTAATACAAACTATGATTTTATAAAACCAACACTTCCAAATAGGACTCAAAAATCTTTGAGAATTCCCCATGAGTTCATAAGAAACATAAGCACAACCCATAACACCCACCCTAAAATTCACATTTTATCTCATAAATAGTAGGTGAATAAGAAATCTTTCTCCACCTGTAGTCTGACCTACTCTTTCCTTCCTTCCAAGCACTCTTATGCTCTCTGTCCATGGTGGAAACTCTGTCTGTATGACCACCTTTTAGACATAAAGTGCTTCTTCTTCCAGGTGTTAGAGTGCTACTGGGAGTCAGCCCACAGAAGTTGTTATTCTTAACTATGAAGGCATCCATCAGTGAGTTATCAGAACTTTTCTCATCTCAGGATAACTCAAATAGTACATTTCGGTCAGAAAGTTACCACAACATTGACAAAAGTAGGGTTGAATAGCCAGTAGAACTTCCTCTTACCAATTGCCCCCTTTTTCATTAACATTTCATTAATTCTGATTACATGCATCTAAGATAGAGAAACTGTGCTTCAGGAAAGGAATTTGATTTGGGTTATTCTGTACGTATGTATCTATCTATCGTACTATCTATCTATCTATAGATAGATTCAAAGCCCAGAATTCCAATGTTCATCACTGTCACTGTCACTGTCACTTTCCTCCCGTTGTTCATCGATTTGCTCAAGCAGGCCCAGTAACGTCTCCACTGTAACAATTGTTACTGTGTTTGGCATATCGAATACATCACAGGTAGCTTGCCAGGCTTTGCCCTGCAGGCGAGATACTCTTGGTAGCTTTCCGGGCCCTACGAGAGGGGCAGAGGAATCAAACTCGGGTCGGCCATGTTGGCCACTTGCAAGGCAAACCCTACCTGCTGTGCTGTCGCTCCAGCCCAATTATTATCACTGACCAAATTTAATAAATATTTCATTCATTTTCAATGAAAAATAATTTTGAACTTACTATAACAACTTATCTTGTCTTCCCTAGAAGAGAGATTCAACTTAACCAAAATTTATTTTTTATAATAGCTGAGTTTCAGAAGTCTAAAGATAGATCACAGCATTAAATTAAGAATCCTGAAGTGATAATAATAAAAATGAAAAGAAAATATCTGTGACTTTCTGCCATACCTTTTCCACATCTCCCAAGCCTTCAGTGTCCAGTAGGATGAGAACTTGATTGGGTTTTAAGGGGTGGGGAAGGCACCACATCCAGATACCCTTGGTTTTAGATTGCACTGTTGAGCCTAGAGGAAAACCTACAAGGTGAGAGGTAAAAGTAAAACATGGTAACAGCAAATCATCTATGTAACCAGAGAACACCAAAACATTAGCTTAGAATTCTATATAAATACCTCAGCATGCTGGATGGTGTTTTCTTGATTTACTCAAAAACGAACATCATTATGCAAGTTATTTTCCCAAGAGAAAAGTTTAACTTTGAGGATGATGCTAGACAAGAACTCACACTAAAGCCAAAATGTATCAATGATCAGACAAAATGTAAGATGGTGATAACCATTACAAGAGTATACTAAATGAATGGTGTGTATTAAAGCCAATGAAAGACAGACTAAAGAGAGCATCTGGAATGAAAAAAGAGAAAAGGAAGTTTACATCACATATGTATTGGTGGGAGTATTTCACAAAAAGGGAGAATACGTTTTAAGAGAAGGCATATGTATGTATATTGCTATGCTTATATATACATATGCATACAATTGGAAGAGCTTGGAGCCTGAGCAGGTGGAGGTTGAAATTTCAGTAATTGAGGAGACATTTTCCTTGTTGAGAGTAAAGCTAAAGTGGGTAAGAAATTATGTTCAATTAAACATTGAAAATTGTAGTTGAAATGTTCTTATTGGGAGGAACAAGTTTCTTCTTTTATGTGACAAAGGATGAAAATGTAAAAGTATACATATATATGTTTGTATGTATATATACATATATATGAAAAAGAAGCAATTATTTCATAACTCAGTATACTACTCACCATGGTTTTTTCCTGCAAGACAGTTCATCAGATAGGATTTGCCTGTACGATATGGCCCTACAATGGCCACCACCACCACTGGCTGAGAAATCTTCTGTAGAATCTCTAGAGCTTCCCGGTTCACTGACAATTTTTCATTCTTGTTTTCCACCAGACAAATGGGGGTCATCATGTTGGGTCCAGATGCCATGAAAACTGTAAAACAAGAAAAGCCTCCAGTAGATCAAAGAGTAAAATGGAATTCTCTGTATTTTGTTATCGAATGACACATCGTTACGACTAGGTCAGAATTTCTTTCAGATAAAATATAAACTTAACTTTACAGATTGTAAGAGGAATTTTAAATCATTCCTCCCCAATTTGATGGTGTTTGTAATGCTGTAGTTATGTTTACACCCCAAAGCCACCATCCAGTTATACATTTTACTCCAGATATAAAAACCCCTTAAAAATTCTGGGCTTTCTGGAGTGAATGTGGTTGCACAACATCTCAATCTCTACAACATTAATAAAGCAGTAGTAGCACACCAGACTGAGTGGGATGTACCATAGAAGACAATCAATCTCGATTAACAAAACATAAATATAAAAAGCTTCACCTGTAATTTCTTAATATTCTCTCATAGAAGAATTTAATGGATCCATGGTGAGATATAACAATTTACACTAATTTTCTTCCAAGGAAAATTTTTGAATCATTCTGTTAGCAAAATTATTGATAACAAGTAATATAAAATAAAGTATTGAAGGCCTGCTATGAGGGCAAGTTTAAGGGGCAGTTGGAAAAATTGGAGACAATGATGGAGGGCAGGCATAATTGTAATGGAATTGATGCTGGAATATTGAATTCTTGTAACAAACTGTCACGAACTACTTTGTTTATATAACCACAGTGTTCATGTAAAGTTCTGGGGAAATTTTTGCATATATAGTTTTGACTCTTTCATGTAAATTATAAAATATATTAATATAGAATTTCTTTAAAAGTTTTATTATCACAGGTGAGGCATGATTATTACCACAATGAGATCCAAGTATAAGATAAACTTTAATGTAATGTATTTTAGATTCTAGAATTGAAAATTTATATATATAAATAAGAATAGGCATTTTATTATATTGCATTAAATGGTGTTAATTTTCTTATTTACATAGGTCTAAATCATATAGTTATCACAAACTGTCTTTTACTCATTTATTTTCTGATCATTATGTTCACTATTTCTTAAAATTTTGTTGGGATAAGCAGTAAACGATATAAAGTAAATTTGTTATGTGCCTAAGGGGGAATTTTGGAATTAGCATGGAAACTGGGGATATTGGTGGAGGGAAGGTCACACCAATGGTGTTGGAACACAAAATGTCTAAAATGACTGTATGATGAACTACTTTGTAAATCACGGTGACTTTAATAAAAATTAATTTTAAAAAATTAATTTTAATCAATGAATTTTCTCCAATATTATTGGTAAAATTCAATTAATAGTTATTATACATTGAAGTCTTATAACTTACTGCATCCTTTGATAGATATACAAATTACTAGACTCACTGATACTTATAAGGGCCTGCAGGATGTGAATGATTATGAACATTCTTCTTAAAATGACTTGAGAAGGACAGTAGATACAAAGGCCAGGAGGATTGCCCCATAGCTGGAAGCCTGCCTCATGAGCAGAGGGGAGAAGGCAGATGGAATAGAGAAGGGATCACTAAGAAAATGATGACTGGAGGAATCAGTCAGGATGGGAGATTTATGCCAAAAGTAGATAATGGACCAAACACGATGACCTCTCAGTGTCTGTATTGCAAACCATTATGCCCAAAAGTAGAGAGAGTATGGGGAACATTGTCTGCAATGGAGGCAGGAGGAGGGTGGGGAAGGGGGGTATACTGGGAGATTGGTGGTGGGGACTGTGCACTGGTGGAGGGATGGGTATGCAATCATTGTGTGATTGTAACCCAAACATGAAAGCTTGTAACTTTCTCATGGTGATTCAATAAAATTTTAAAAATTAAAATAAAAAATAAATAAAAAAATAAAATGACTCGTGAATAAGTCATTGAGTCTAGATTTAATACTAGACAATGGGGGATATGTCAGAATACGAATTTCTAAACTCCTTTTTCCCTAAGCCAATACAAAAAACAAATAAAATATGTCTAGGACAAACTTTGAATGGCACTCCAAAGACATTCAAATATCAGAAGCAAACAAGAAAAGTACAATTTTAATATCACATACAAAAAAGAATAAAATTCGGTGGAGCAAGTGATTGTGGTGCTCACACCACTCCCCATTGTTTTCATGTAAAGAAGGATGAAACCCAGTTTCTAATTCCTTTCTCGTATTCAGAGAAAACAGAAAAGTCTTTACAACAATATTGTGACTTATTTGGGAGCTACCTCAGTAACTCTTTGTACTACTGTACATAAATCCTAAAGAACAGCATATGAGAGGGATACAATAAAATACACTGAATTTCAAATGAAAGTCTCACACAAAAAAGAACTAGCTTTTTAGTTTGATGTTCTGAGACTCATCCCAAAGAATTATTCAACTCAAATTTTCTATGTTTAATAATTTGTTTCAACTGACTCCAGTCCACACTAAAGCAAAACAGAAAATAAGAGAGTGAGTCATGGGGGTGAGGGATGGAGACGGGCAGTGAGCTTTCTGACTAGGGTTTTTTGTTTTTGTTGTTGCTTTGGGGCTATACTAGTTGTACTCAGGATTTACTCCAATTTCTGCACTCATGGGCCATATCTGGTGAGCTCCAACTAATTATTTTTAACAAGTAGAAATCAGCAACACAGGGGCTAAACTTGTTTCTACAGATTTATCCATTCTCACTTAAATCTTTCTTAAACAACTAATAGAATGTTTTCTTTATCCATGTAGATATCTCATGAGCCCTTCAATGCTCTGGATGAACCTTGTCTTGTTCTATGCGCATCCCAATGAGTTCAGAAGAACTGATAAAGCAAAGCAGCTAAGGGTCTTCCCACTCCTCTAAGTGCTCAGAGGAGCCATGAGAGAGCAGTGGACCCCATTTGAGCACTAAGTGCCTGTCTGTCACTTTGTAGCTGTTCCTTGTACATAGGTAGAAGCTGAGATTACCCAGAACTAAGCACAGCCACAGCCTCCACTAGCTGAACAATCAGCTTCCTGCCTTGCTTCCTTTCCTAGGTCTAATGCTGAATCTGAAATTAAACCTTGAGTTTAATTTTAAGCCCAATTAAGGTCCAAGGTAAGAGAAAATGTCTTACCTGCTCCACTGCACAAGAACTTTCTGTGGTCTCGTGTCCAGTGCTTTGCTTCTTCTCCCTTTTCTCTTTTCCTCCTTCAGGGTTTAAAGCAAACTGGGGTTGATCATTACACTGAAAAAAAGAGTAGAACAAAACTGAAAGTAAAAGTAATTTGTGGGTGTACTTTTTTCTTTTTTTTATTTTTAAGCTGCAGCAGTATATCTTGTACCAGATTTTATTTCTAATGTGAAGCTCCATGTTCGCTAAGATTTAGTTTGGTAAACAGCAAAGTTTAACAGAAGCAGCAGTTTCTGTTCCTTTTTTGAAACCAGTTTTGGTCCTCTGTCTTGTCTGCTTTCTCTTTTTTTATGTTTGTGAATTTTATTATATGTTTATATTTATTATATGATCTATGGATGTTTTTAGGGTTTGTTTCAGCAACATAATTTATGATACTGTTAATGACAGGGGTTTCATTCATATATTACTCTAACACCACATCCTCCACCGGAGTGTCTGGATCCTTCCACCATTTTCTCAGGGTGCCCTACTTGGTAAACTCAGTTCTGTAGACCAGTTCTGAGTTCCTGTTGCCTTGTGGCCATCTGTTATTCCCTTACTATGTTTCTAATTTCCCACATATAGAGAAATCTTCCTCCATCTATCCCTTTCCTTCTGGGTAACTATCATGAAATGTGCCAGTGAATGGATGGAACTAGAAGATATCATGCTAAGTGAGGTCCATCAAAGAGAGAACGACAGAATCTCTTATCTTTTTATGCAGTGCATATGAGCCAAAATTTTTTACATTTAAGAAACTTCATTCAACACTATATTCTGCTCATTAACATGGAAACATTATTTTCAAACAAACATAAACTTGTTATCATGTTCTAAGTCTGGCACTATTAATGCCACCAGATGTTAAAGTTAACCATCTCTAACTCACACAAATAATTCAGATAAATACCAATCCTGAAAAGTTTTTATCCCAGAAAACATTCTAAGTGTGAGATGCGTTAATGCACATTCAAGAGAACTAGTTGATCCATTTAAGGTGAACTGTAACTCCTAAATTTACACCCAAAGGAAATGTGAAATCATGTGCATAGAAAGCATAAGGAAAATGACCCTAAGATCACTGTCTATAGATCCAAGCTGAATTGAACACCAAGTCTTTACCGAATAATTAGCAAAATAGCTGTGGCACAGTTGAATCATGGGGTGCTGATAGTAAATAAAGTAAGCAAATGACAGCTAGACCCAATCCATGAAACTTAAGGAGCTTGTTTACAATCTACTGACTCAGATCCAATCACCTACACCACAAATGGTCCCCCTAGTTCCACCAGGAGTCATCCCTGAGCAGAGAGCAAGGAGTAAGCGCTGAGCTCCACCCAGGTTGGCACAGAAAAACAACAGGACAAACATAGCTTGAAAAAAATTCTTTACTAATTGCATAAGTGGTTTTGAAAGTGAAAGTAGATTGGGGTTTCAAAAAATTTAAACTCATTCTGGGAAAACAGCTGACTGTTCTTCTAAATTTTTTTTGATTTGGTCAGGCACCAAAAATACTCCAGGGACAAGAGAATGTTAAAGGGACCATGAAATGAATTTAAAAGCTCTTTCCTTCAAGCCTCCACACATACTTCCAGATAAACTATTTTATTGCATGCAAATAAATTTAGAAATTTAATTTATCACTTATAGAGTTTGAATGGCTAAAAATACTTTTGATTGTTGTGTGATAAAATGCTGTAAGTATAAATACTCTAAAATCACCAGTTTTTCTAGGACACTAAAAGTATCAAAGGGTTCTTTGTTTAGTTCTTGTATCTTTTATGAATTTTCAACAAAAATATGCATGCACATTTGTATATATATCCCGCAGAAGAAAAAATTCCTTGAATTAATATTTTCTATGTAACTTTTGTGTATCAAGCTTTGCAAGCAATCAAACATTTGTTAGACAAGTTCTTGCTTAGCACTAATTCCATCCAAAGCTTTTTAACATATTTGGACTCCACAGTGCAGTTAAGCTATTCACGTTGAGTTATCCAGAGAGGGAAACTTGTTTAGAATAAATGATTCAGTAATTTTATTGGCCTCCGAGGCTAGCATGATATCTGAGCATTTTATATACTTGCAGAAATATGAAATGATGTCTTATTTCTGTATTTTCATAGTAGCTTTGGCAACAAGGCTACAACAGCGTTAGTATTTATGTTTCTGATGTACAAAGTTACACCTCCTCAACACCACCCAGCTGTCCTCAACCCTTCTACCACTTTGTGTCTCCTTTTATTTTATCCACATAGCAATGTAAATATATAATTTCTTTATCTATATTTATGAAAATTTTTAAATATATAGCTTATATTCTTTAATTAACAACCAAGGCATTCTTTTCATTCTCTTTGGACATCAATGCAGAGTTTTCTCAAACTGCAAAAGCAAAAAGTAGATTTACTATTTAATCTTACATTTCTTGCCAAATCATATAAAAGCACTAATTGAAAAGGACATATTTTCATTGCACTGTTACATGCAATAGCCAATAGCTGTGCAAAACTCAATATTCCAGCAACAGATAAGTGGATAAAACAGATGTGGTCTCTCTACACCATGGTATATTACTCAGTCACGAGAAATCAATAAACATCACAGCAACATGGAGGGAACTTACACAGACTATGCATAATACTTCAGAAAGAGGGAAAGAAATTCTGGATGATATTTCTCATATATGAGAAACAAAGACAATGGAATTCCTAGGAAGTAATAAACCAATAGGACCAAAGCTGCAAACATAGGAACCAAGGCTGTATAAGACCCTCACCTGGCACCAGCAACAGACACAGAGAAAATTGGAACCGCCTCTGGAAGAAGCTCAATCAGGAACAAAAGGCCACGAAAAATATTCCCAAGAAGGCCGTCTTCCACTCCCAACACAACCCCCTTGGCAACCACTCTAGCAAAGGACCCTCACCTAGCTCGAAGCCTCACACGGGGAAGCTTGAGAAACCCTATAAAAGCCACCTTGAACAAAGGAAGCACATGCACATGCTGCCCAAGCCTATATGCTACTTGTGCCCACTTGGCCAAGCATATGTGGCACCATCATCTCCCCTCTTGAGATCTGTACTTCCATACTTTCCTATCCAATGCCGGGGTGTATGTAGATTCTTCCTGCCTGAGGGAAAGCCCATATTCTCTCTTTTTGTTCTCTCTTCCCTTTCTGAAAGTTCTTCCCATTCTTAAAGCTCTCCAAATAACAATTGTTGTACTTCACTGCTCATCTACTCCTGAGGTTCTTTTCTGTAAGGAGGGACAAGAACCTAGTAACCCTGGTAAGGCCTAGGACTGATTCTGTGCAGGGGCTCATCACAGACTTTACAAGTTCTAGCGTTCCAGTTGGTCGTTGGTGGCAGAAGTGGACTGGGATAAAAATGACCATCTCTCTACTAGAACAAAGGCAGAACTGCAGACCAATGGAACAGGGTTGAATACACTGACATCTCTCCTCAATCATATGCTCATCTAATCTTTGATAAAGGTGCAAGTAATGTGAAGTGGAGTAAGGAAAGCCTCTTTAATAAATTGTGTTGGCATCACTGGACGGCTACATGCAAAAAAATAGGCTCAGAACTCTGCCTAACACCATGTACAAAAGTAAGATCAAAATGGATTAAAGACCTCAACATCAGACCAGAAACCATAAGGTACATTGAAGATAAAGTTGGCAAAACCCTCCATGACATTGAAGCTAATGGTATCTTCAAAGATGCCACGCCACTGGCCGAGCAAGTGAAAACAGAGATAGATAAATGGGACTATCTTAAACTAAGAAGCTTCTGCACCTCCAAAGAAACAGTGACCAAAATACAAAGACAGTCTACAGAATGGGAAAGGATATTCACCGAATACACATCTGACAAGGGGTTGATATCCAGGATATACAAAATACTGGTTAAACGCCACAAGAAGAAAACATCCAACCCCATCCAAAAATGGGGCAATGAAATGAACAGAAACTTTCTCAAAGAAGAAATCCGAATGGCAAAAAAGCACATGAGAAAATGCTCTACATCATTAATCATCAGGGAGATGCAGATCAAAACCACAATGAGATACCATCTCACACCTCAGAGACTGGCCCAAATTCAAAAGAACAAAAGCAACCGATGCTGGCGTGGATGTGGCGAGAAAGGGACACTCCTTCACTGTTGGTGGGAATGTCCACTGGTTCAGCCCTTCTGGAAAACAGTATGGACGATTCTCAAAAAATTAGAAATTGAGCTCCCATTTGACCCAGCAATACCACTCCTGGGAATATATCCCAGAGAGGCAAAAATGTATAGTCGAAGTGACATCTGCACTTGTTTGTTCATTGCAGCCCTCTTTACAATAGCCAGAAACTGGAAGAAACCTGAATGCCCAAGAACAGATGACTGGTTAAAGAAACTTTGGTACATCTACACAATGGAGTACTATGTAGCTCTTAGAAAAGATGAAGTCATGAAATTTACATACAAGTGGTACAATATGGAAAGTATCATGCTAAGCGAAATGAGTCAGAAAGAGAGGGATAGACATAGAAAGATTGCATTCATCTGGGGGATATAAAGTAACAAAGTATGAGATTAATACCCAAGAATAGCTGAGATCAGCACCAGGAGGATTACTCCATAACTTAGAGGCCAGCCGGGTATCCTAGAGGAAAGGGCTATTCAGATAGAGAAGGGAGCACCAAATAAAGGATGTTTGGAGGATCCTCCCAGGAGGGGAGATGCATGTCGAAAGTAGACTATGGACTGAACATGTTTGCCACTCAATGCCTCTTTTGCAGACCACAACACCCAAAAGGAGAGAGAGAACACAGGGGATTGCCCTGCCACAGAGACGGGGGGATGGGGGGATGGGGGTGGGAGGGATATTATCCATGGTGGTGGAAAATGGGCACTGGTGGAGGGATGGGTATCTGATCATTGTATAATTGAAACCAAAGCACAAAAAATTGTAAATCTACAACTTTAAAAAAAATAAAATAAAATAAAGGGGGAAAAAAAATCAAAGTAACTAGAATATGAGAAATAAATTTTTGTAAAAAAAAAAAAAAAAAAA